CCAAGGCTTCGGGTTTCCACTGTGAGATCTCAGGCGACGATACTGTCCAGGATGCCTGGGATAAATTTGTCATACAGAGATCTCTGCTCCCTTTATTTCAGTCACAAGGAAAAAGGAGGCACAAGCACAGTCGCCCTGGATAGATTCCGTTGGCAGGCATCTGCTCACAAAGAGGTCTAGATGTTGGCGGACTTACCGAGATGCTCCGTCCACCTATACTTATAACAGGTACCGTAGGGATAGTAATAGGTGTAAGCAACACCTAAGGAATGCTCGGCTCAATTTTGAGAGAGGGTTAGCAGAAGAAACTTCAGAAAACCCAAAAAGATTCTTCACATGTGACAAAAGACGCTGCGGTTCGAACACGTCAATTCCAATATTGATGCGTTGTGACGGTACTCATGCTCATATGGACTATGACAAGGCTTGCGTACTTAGTTGGCAATATGCGGCAGCGTTTGTAAGGGTAATCTCTTTGACGCGTTGAGCTGGTTTGCAGGATCCAAGAGGGTTCAGGACTATCTGGATTTGTTGTAGCGGATATGGAAGTTCGTAGGCTGTTACAAGAGCTGAATCCATCTAAGGCCTCTGGGCTTGATTTAATTCACCCGAAACTGTTGCACGAGTTGGCTGCGGAACTAAGTGGACCGCTCGCTATCGTGTTTCAGAAATCGCTTGACAGCTGTGCACTACCTTCCGAATGGAAGGAAGCTGTCATCCGTCCCATCTTTAAAAATGGGGACAGGAGTCTGCCTACGAGTTACAGGCCAGTTAGTCAGACGAGTGTAGCAGTCAAACTCCTCTAGAAACTGGTGAGAGATTCATCGGAAAGTCATCTGAGTAGATTTAATCTACTTAGCAATGCACAACAGGGATTACGGAAAGGATTTTCGTGTCTGAAGAATCTATTGGTGACTCGCGAAAGTTGGACGGATGCACTGGATAACGGCCACGTACTGGACGTACTTTTCGTCGACTTTTCGAAGGCATTTGACAAGGTACCCCATTTGAGGCTGGCGCAAAAGCTGACCTCCTACGGGGTATCTGGCCGCGCCCTTCATTGGGTGACTGCCTTCTTGGATGGTAGATAACAGTGTGTACGAGTAAACCGTGGTCTATCGTTTAGGCAATCTGTCCTCAGTCGCCTGCCGCAGAACTCGGTCTTTGACCGCTGCTGTTCTCTATCTGGGTGAATGACCTACCCGCGGAGCTCAAGGTACCATCGCTGCTATTTGCTGATGACCTGGAGCTGTGAAATATTGTTGGTGTTCCTGTGGGTTCCAAAACTATTCAGCGAGCTTTGGATAAGCTTCGGGACTGGTCTACTTTATGGTTACTGCCCATAAATCAGACAAAATGCTCCGTTCTTCGAATTGGAGGAGGTTGTCCTCCTGCGAAGTACTTGGTCGGTGGGGTCGACATGCAGATGACAAGCAAGGTGCCTATCCGCGTATCACAGGCGGCTGCCGCATTTTGAAAGCTGGAAAATCGAGTGCGGAAGAATCACCAACGGACCGCTGAAACGATTGCTGTCGGTTCTCCTCTACGGCAGCGAAACCTGGACGCCTTATCGGACGTTCGCGATATGGAGCCCTTTCATTAACAGTGCCTGCGTCGGATTCTACGCACCGGTTGGACCGACCGAGTTGCTGATACAGAAGTGCTGCACAGTAGTGGCATATATGTAATGGATTGTTTGCTTCTGCTGCTGCTCTTTAGGTGGCTGGGACATGTCCGGTGTATGGATTCGACCAGGATACCCAGTCAGCTGTTATATGGCCAAATGCGTGCAGAGAAGCGTGACATGGTAAAACCGAAGCTACATTACCATTACATTAATTGCCACGTGTGTCCGTTTAACAACCGTGTGGCGTGGCAGATGTGACTCTCCACTAAATAAAGTCATTTGCCCTTGCCTCTCTCTGAGTGAGTGTGTTGGGCCTCTGATCCTTTGCGGTTTTAAAGGTGTATGAACCACTTTCCTGGTCACCGGCTCCCAACGAGTTGTGACGCCCTTAGATCGCCCTGCTGTTGGTTTGGGCTAGGACCCCCTAAAACAACCTTCTACTTCGGCCTGGACAACCGGGTAGTATCACGCCCACTAGCGAATTATGAAGAGACTATACTACTGCTCTCACTCTTGTTATGTGTACTTACTCTACTGCTCCCACTGCTCAATGTCCCCTCAAGGACCGTCCCACGTTCCATTATTCAACTTCACTTATCTTCCCTCCGGTCACCACCAACAGCAGCTCACTGTTCACAGAGTCAAATTTATGGTGTTCGATGCCAGACGATCACAGCCTTCTCACATTCCACCGAAACCCAAGCTTTTATTCGACTCAGTTCTCCATTCGGCGTCGCATCGTCCATTGTTCGCACTGTGATGCAGATCGGACGGTAAACATGCCTGACACGCACCCTTGAGACGCTCTGTTACCTCTCAGAAACTAGGCTGCAAGACTCCACTAGCGTCATAAGAATGACCTCTCCGGAAAACCCTGACGTCAAATACTATTTGTGCTTTTCCGGGGACCCAGAAGCTGCCGCTTCTGGCCAGGCTGGTGTTGGGGTTGCGCTGAGTGACAAAGCACAGTCCGCTCTGCTTGACTTGATCCCAGTCAACAGCCGGCTATGTGCATTCAGACTACGAGGTTCACGTAAGGAAGCGTCGAGACGTTACACGCGCCTTATTTGTCGTCTGCGCCTACGCCTCTGCAAATTGCAGTTCGGATGTAGTCGAGGATTGAATTTACAAACGACTACATGGCGTTTTGCGTTCCGTTGTGACCAACTGACAATTTACCCGAGCATTCGTAATATCTTCACTCACTGGTAAACAGTCCTCATTTTTGGAGGATGGCTATATGCAATACGGCACAGGTAATTTCGCATGCTCACGAAATATACATCCCGGTGTACCGAGGTTTCTTTACACATTTCTCGAAATTGTATCACCTTCACTAGAGCTGTGTCTATATCCAAACGTGACTATGTTTACCAACATTGCAGGAAGAGAAGGAGGATAATGAACCGATCAGGTGGAGTCGCACGCCCGTTTTGTTGCGCGCCACGAATTGATTGTAGTAGCGATCAGTAGAACAAGCCGTCCCGTTTCGCGACAGTCAACTGTGCTTGGCAGAACCCAAATATCTCAACTCATTCTCGGGTCAGATTGTAGACGTGATGGGCGCAGCGCAATCAGGTCATTTGCTGTTGCGGAACAGCATCGCTTTAGCGTCTATGACGAATAGTTCACTAGCACATTTGGTCGCTGCCACTTCACATAGGGAAGTTCGGGTCCAACATATACGCATTGATGTATTCAATGTGTACGGTTCAGTGGATGACTTCCAGTAATTGTATCGTAGTGCTTTTGATTGCAGTAATCGAAAAATTCTGCGACGCTTTGGTAGCATTGCTGGAATTCAACCAACTTCCTTGCCCTTCTCTGTATGAACAGTTTGCCAAACACACACAATTTATCTTTTAATTACGACGCCTCAATCAGTTTCATTGATTTTTTACTTGTAGATCTAATATACGCTTGCTTCCTGTGGAATTGTTCTGCTGCGAGTTGATGGTGTCTGATCGGAGGTCCCACTTATGCGACTGGGTTAATTGTAGCGGACCTGTGGGTTGGTTTGATTTTCATCTTACGTTGGTAATTGTATTGACGATGTTCTTTTCTCATCGCACGAAAGAGGTCATTATCAATAGTGATGAGTTACGTCATTCATGCCCATCCGTGGAAGGTTTCGATGGCCATATAATGAAATGGAGTGTATCTTGGTTCCTATAGGTAAAACTACACCGATTGCACCATTTCTTAGATCCTCCTCTATTCTCGGCTTAGGATAACGTGCGATCGATCATCACATATACAGCGGCGTTACGAAATTCGTTTGCAAATAATGTTGCTAGAAATCAAAAGAACTCGTCTTGCAATACCGACCGGTCGCAACCAGCCCACGTATGCGGTCCTGTATCCGTGCCCATCGGTCAGCTTTCCCTTACTACACATTTCGCAACAATCAAAGCTTGACCAATAATGGTAAAAGTTGACTATTTTCTAGAGCTATTCCAAGCATTACTGGGAGACGTTTTCGACGAGTACTCGCCCTTCGTGTCGTAAACTATTGTGATGTGAAACTCGGCGACGAAATCAGACTTCTCCAACTAGTGTCACTTCGCAGCGTACATCTTTTGTTCTCAAATATTAGTGCTACCAACAGCTCCGATCAAGCAGAGGGTACACTCAGCGACATTTTATCTGACAGAACCAAGTTCTTTGATTACAAGGGCAGGTGAAACAGAAGGCAGGTTTAAGTGGACAACTTTCAAGAGATAGCTTTCTGTTGTATCTACACGGTAGGCGACGCAATCCACTAAAGATGCCTAGATAAGGATAAAGGGGATATAGCGTCCATTTTGTCCCATCAGCATTGAAGCAGTAGTTGGATCAATTAGGCTTTCATTACTTTCCGATCCGTAAACTTCACAAAAATGTGAGTGTAAGTGATTCTTCAAAGAATTCTGTAGAAACAGAGCAGTTGGTTAGAGAAACATACACTCTGATGCGATAAACAGTTAGTGATTAGTTGGACAGACCACCTACTAGTAGCATATCCCTACTGCATTGTACTGTTTTATCCCACTTTACTGTTAAGTTAATTACAGCGCAAAACGAACGCCACATATGATGCTCCGGAGTAGTAGGCCGTACAAAAGTGGTGGACCGAAGAAATGCCGATGGGATTGGAACAATGATGTATTACGGGTTTAAAAATAGCAACGCTTAACACAAGTCCCGGGAGGTGAAAGTTATTGAGAACATAAAGATTCACGATAAAATGAAAAGTGCATTAGTGACTCACCATAGTGTTCGTATTGAGACATACGCATTGTTTGGGCACTGTGCGGTGATCGAAGACTTATACCGCAGTCATTGTTTGTGTACATGAGATAGACATGAGGCTCGGTGAGACACTCGAACCGCATCAAACTGATGTGCTTCGACCTAAACGAAGAAGTTGCACCCTTTGAGACTACTCTTAGAGCATTGCTTATCAGTAATCGGTATTCAAAGTTTGAAATCAATGAAGCCGTTCAGAGATGGGCTGCCGATCCATAACTGAAATAGAGCCAACTGTAGTACGATGTGTGGTTTGAATGCCCTACGCCTGAATCCTACCGTCAACTAGTGCAGGGCTACAAAATTCGAGGAGAAAAACTCGGTAGCGTGTTCACAACTAACCTGATCGTGCAACCGCGTCCACAGTTGTGTTCTTCACCTGAGCCATGAAGCCAAGGTTGGCAAATATCACGAAACCGGCGTACACGGAAGTTGCACAATTGATACACGCAACGATGATTGCATCTCTGTACAGAAAGTCATCAAGAGAGAATGGTTAATGTTGGAAACATGGAGTGTACAGAATAGTTTGTATTAGAAAACATCTTGCAAATCGACCATATATTTCGAACGGCACTCGACTGTCCCATTGTTGAGGATCAGTCAGGGATTCAGTGTTGTGGGAGGTTGACAACTTGTAAGCAAACCACACAGTAAGCCATGTAAGAGATAATGTACTCAGAGTGACATAAACTCAGTGATGTTTGGAAAAACCATCTCCATATGCTCAATAATTCAGAAATCAAAATTTATTTGAGGCTAAGGAGAGGATACAACCGTGATAAGTGTAAACTGAATCCTTCCTCTGATTAGCTATATTGAACAGAATACACAACTACGTATGCCAACATGTACGCGTATTTGGAGGTCTGCGAAACAATGGACAGGTCATAACGCACTAATTGAAAAATTACCCTGAAGAGACCTCAAGGAGATCAAAGGAGAATTGTTGTGCCGGGACCTCACTACTAGCTACTATGAACTGAGTACTCTGAGATGTGATAAAATCTAGCCGGCCATGAGCGAAGCCCTTGACGCTAACACACATGTGTAAGCATTATCTCCACGCTCAGTGCCCGAAGTCAAATCAGTTAAGTGCGTCGACCGAACCTCTGCGCATCCGGTATTTAACAGATCCGATGGAACTTGGCCTGTTGATGAGTCTTATGCGTTTCTAAAAATTGACGCAAGAAGTATGTCTCTCTGTTGCAGTACCTTAGCAACATTCTGGCTGTGGTTGCTTAGGAACAACCAGCTAGTTAGTAGTTTACCAACATTTCACTGTGTCCGTATTAAGGTGGATATTCAGTTATGCCCAGGCGAAACGCACAAACAATGGTTGAGCGGAAAAGGCTAGAATCGTGTGCTGTCGGCATATTGCCTAGATCTTCTGGTCCCTCTTCTGTTAAACGATTACAATGGTTGACTGTGTCGGTCAATTCGACTGCGACTTGCATATCTAGGGAATCGAAATCCCTTAGAGGAAAATTGTGAATCATAGTATAGATCCCTGCTGTGCGAGAGGCACATCATCCGTGTGCTGATATCCCTGGTGAATTAGCGCAGTGTTTAGTCTAGGTGTGACAAGGCAACTTTCCCAGCCTGTTTACGTGCGCTTCTCTGTCCAAAACTCTCAATGAAGGTTGAACGAATGTCAAATGAAATTTGTCGGCAAAATTTCTCACATATTCGGTGGTCATAAACTGATGCCCTACGAGCATAATCCGTCCCTTTGTGAGCTCGGTTTCCCGGTACCACGAGAAACATACTTTGTCATTATAACTGACTTCTGCGTGTCAAAAAGACGAAAGCTTGGTCGCATGGACCAGGGCACTCATGACACCATAGAGCTGGGATTCTAGGAAACCGGTTTCGTAAATAAACCCAGTGAAAAAGTTAGGTCGCGCTTGAAAGAAGGAGCATAAAACTGGTGCCCAATAAAAATTCTTACTGATGTTGGGAAAAACCTTTTATTTTGTGTTGGGCTAATGCGAATTCAAATGCAACCAAGGCCAAACAAGCTCACACTTCAAAGATGGTGATATGATCCGCTGTCCCGTAGTGCCTGGCTGTATTAATGTACCAAAGGTGAAAAGCTTGTGGAATGGGGCATCCATGTCTGGAAAGAATCGTTTCAAGTAATCGCACAGAGGTGGGGTGCGTGACGGTGTATAGCCTTAAGACAGAATGCAGTACTGGAAGTCTGCGGCTGGCAACCTGTAGTTGCGTAGATTTTCTTAAAGCCTATTGAGTGGAGCACTATTTTGGGTCAACTCCTTGCTGAAGAAGTGGTGAGATCACGCGGAAGCACCGTTGGAGGTCGCTTTTAAGTTCGACCGAAATAAACAGCTTATTCAGCACATACTACCGTGTAGCACCATCTGGATGGTGCATGCGAACTCAAATGACATTTCCCATAACTCTTGCCAATCTCAACAGCATAGCTCCAAAATTTATCATATGGAGCATTTAAAAGAGATATATGTTTCACTGGATAATAAAACTTTCAGGCGACTTTGAAACTAGGCCATAAAGGAAGTGCATCTTTTAGCTGATGACTCCGTGCCCCAGATAGACTGTGCGAACTCACTGTCAGCGAGAACAACCAAACTTGTCTATGACTTCCCAAGGGAAATATCCTCACTTTCGCTCACGGGTGATGTGCAGCAGTTGTATGAAAATTTTGAGAAGAAACGGCTGATCTGTTGAGTGAAACGATGACTTTCTAGCGAGTACTGGAAAGGCTGTGATGATGGTCTGGCTTGACCTTGAAGCGTTCTGCTTATGCCCTACAAGATTGTGCCTTGAGTTTGCAGCCCCAAACTAATTCTATTTCAACAGATTAGAGTTCAAAAGATAAATGAGGTGATGAGTTGCAAATTTGTCATTAAACAATAACATAAGCAGAAGATAGGTAGAAAGCAGGCTGTTGATTGTGCGTAGCTTTCACTGCGCGTTTTCCCTCTGTTTAAATTTTGACCTTATGATGGTTCAAAGTTACTCATGAAGGAATGTGTTCTTCTCTTGGATACATATACTAAGCTATTTACAAAATTGTGCGGACTGGTTTTCTTGATTTAGTTTAATTAAATGCTATCAGTTTAATGTATTTACGGATTAATACGAAAGGAGCTAGAGGGCAAAGTGCATTGGAAAATAGTTGCACTAACCGGCAGCAGTTGTTTTTAAACTTGTTGAAACTGGACATCGCAATGAGCCCACCGTTGCAAACACCGAGGGAGAAGAATATCTGGGTTGCCGCCTCGACCCAGACTCGTGGGTCTAACAGACGAGAAAATTCAGGCTTCAGGTAGTAGACAATGCCAGAAGTTGCTCCAGGTAACAGTAAACTTCGGATTAGCAGTATTGTAAGAAGCACATACGGGAACAATGCAGTGAAGTAGGATATCTGAAGATGAGAGTGACAAAACAATGCTTAGTGTGAGTTTATAAGGGATAGAAAATAGCCAATGGAAGAAAGTAACCGCAATTCCCAGCAGGAAAGTATGCTATCTAAGCTGCGAATGTAGATGAGCGTTTTTCGGAGTATCTAGTGGTATAAATGAAAACCATTCTCTAACTTAGACAATGCTGTTTATTTACTACTAACGATCATTAAGCGCTCGACAAATCAAATTTTGCCCCCGTTTCAGGCTGTGGCGCGGTCCTCGGGGCTGGAAGCGCTTTCTGTGATTCATCCTGGTCTTCCTGGCTTAAAACTGGTATCTACCGATGGGGAACCGATCAATAAGTCTTGTGTGTAATTGGGTAACAGTAGGCCCATAGACTCCACAAGGCTTACAGTGCGGATTTCCCACATGAAAACATTTATGCACTTGAAGGTGTGCCCACTAATTGGAATTCCGGTATCGAAGGACTGGCGATAGCGGTGGAGTAATGAGAATACCAGTGAATCAATGTTCATACGGTGTCCGTGGCAATAAGTCGTATGCTGTTCGACACATCCGTTAGACCAATGTACCAATGAGTAAAGCACTTGCACTTACAAAGGAGCATGTAACAAATAATGTGATAAAATAGTTCCATCCCTAATCATACGTACAGCTGGTCTGTGGTTGACATTCGCGATGTCTTCAGTGAGGCGGATTCAGCAGCCTAGCATACCAGTTTCACACAGATGATTACTACGGGTAGTTCGTCCCTGGTCCATGCCGGATTGCAGCGCATTTAAAACGGGTACACGGTGATGAAGGTCTCTGTCTTCCATAAAAACTGACAATGAGGCCTTTGGATGTCAGAACCGCCCAGGGAGGTTGTAAAGCTAACCTTTCAAAGTGGGGCTGGTTTGTAACGCTGCAACCAAACAGTTTCAGATAAACTAATCGGTACTGATTGCTCAGATTGTGCGTTCGTCAGTCTTGCTCAGTTGATTCATCGCATAAAGAAATCGTCCCGTAGTATGCTTCTCCAATCGCTAATGCCTTACGGTATATGTCATCAGAAGATGTGCATCTTGCATATACCCATCAAACAAGCTCACTGCGATATTTGGCGAAATGTCTCCAACTAACCAAGAAACATTGCTCCTTCTTGCATCGGTGTGCCCAACCGCAAAGCGAAAACGCTATTTTTCACCACAACTTAGAGGCACGCAGTGGAAGCCAGACAAGAAATTCCACATTTCGAACGCTAGAATTCTCGTTCAATTCGAAAGCATTCAAAGTGCGTGATAACATACCACCAATCTGAGGCCAGTTACGATGCTCAATAAAGTATTAGAGTTTGAGGATACCAAGGCGGTAAGAGGTGAACAAAAGAATAGACTTGGGATCTTAGTGTGTTATTCATGGGTAACATGGTCATGTTCACGGGACTGTGAAGGTTTTGCTTGGAAAGGCAAGGCGCACCACTTTGGGCTGATCATATGAATGTAAGTGTGAAGGGAATAACCAATATAAGCTAGCGTTCACCCAAGGGGATACATCCGAGTTGATATTGAAATTGTGCCAACCCGGACGCAGCTGATTCGGAAGCGAAAACGGTGCTCACGTGTCTCGGACTAGAAGTAGCACTTTGGCTTTCATTGGGCACCGCACTACTCTGCTTTCATTACTTTCACACCAATCTGATGGAGTTTGATGAGTGTCAATAACGAAACGAAGCGGATAAACTGGTTAGCGATATCGAATAATGAGATGTCGATTACACGTCATGTGACTTAGTTTACGACTTAGTGGAATGGATGATTCCGCTCTGTGCAACGTACTGATCAGGCTATGCTGGATGAGAGTTGACCCGTGTTCCTAAGTGATGCAGTGATAGCGTAGGCAACGAGACCCCAAACGTAAATTTTCGACTGATGTCTTCTCTATTGAATCGCTCTGATTGCTTTGATGATCGATTCAATTATTCTTGTGTTGGTAGATACCATGCTTCGACTCGTTTTCCACAAAAGTTAATCGGATATGGTGCACCACAGAAACTTGTATGATGTGTTCACAAGCCGCCAATAAGCGGTTAGATTTTCAACAAGTCTCGGTGCCGAGAGTGCAGGGTTGCAGTTTAAAGTTTGTTCGTGCACAGCCCCGCAGCGAATTTTACATTCAGTTAGATAGTAGCGACTCGAAGGGCTTGGTCTAACATAACCATGTAGGGTTCCCGATCGCTATAGTAATAAAAACATCCTGTGAAAAAGCACCTTCCACTTAAAACCAGATTCTTACGGTGATTTGGGGTACGAGACATCTAACCTCTGTAACAAGGGCAGTTCTTGTGCTTACATTTTGGGGCTGAGCACCTCCACCCGGGAAAGTACTGGTGACTGAATCCGCGTGTTGGCGCGTAATTTAAGTGACCTCAGCTAGTCACCTAGAAAGTGAGATGGGAAGTGGAGTATCTTTTTTAGATTTCTTGCCTTCAAACGGGTGTATCTTCGAAGGGTTAAACTTCCCATCCAATATTTCGAAAAACGCATAAAGGCTATCATTTGAATTCGACAAACAGGCCAACTCGATTATTTCCCTGTACCCTGACTTCTGATCATACAGGAAAACTTATAGCAAAGCTTGTTTATCCCAAAATTATATGTCAATTATTGTTAACAAACCTATATCTCGAGGATCCAAGAAGATAGTTATCAAGCTACGCGGACGACTGTCAGGCCAGTTTGTTGATGATGGAAGAGTTTGAGGTATAAATACAGAGTGCATGGAATGCTTTAGTGAACATCATAAAAGTCTTCACTTCCGGTGCGGTTTCACTAACCAAGATAACGAAAATGCCTCAATCCAAATTAAGTGTTCGTTGAGATGGCACCTAAGGAGTGGCCGCTGAACGTAAAACATGTGCACATACCTAGAGAGCCTGGTACCAATAGATTCACTGAAAACAAAGCCAGTTTGGTTGGTTCAGCATTATTTTGTGACGATCCACGGAGACGTATGCGGCTGTAAACTTTGTAAATTCATTGAAGCAGTTAAGAAAGGGATTACAACGATGATACTGACGGGACTGCCGATAACATTTCGAATGGTAGCCACGATTGACAGCGCCTGGGTGGATTTGTGAATAAATAGTGTTTCACATTCTGGGTGGTCTGAGGACTGCTTAGTTGTGCCAAGCCATGCTAGATACCGCGAAGTCCGAACTCGTCAACCATCACGTGAATTGTCTGAAACGGCAACGAGTCTGTTCTCAACGAGTAGATGATGCTTCCTGCACCAGGTTATATGAGGCAACGTTCAAGACAAAACGCAGTACACTGCAGAGAAGGAATGAGGTTGGCGTAGCGAGTTTTCCACTAGTGTGAACTCCCTGTATGCTTAAGAAAACAGATGGCAACGCTACAGAGAAGAAAAAACGACGACACAACAAACAAGAGGACTAGAATGTATCTCTGTTGTCTGCACTCCATTGTGTACGGTCTGCTGTGAGAAATTGTCATCCATGGATATGTGATAAAACGTTGGTTAAATTTAGGCAGTCAGTGTTATCCGATTTAGTTTGGTCCCTATGATATTACATGACGCTTATGGCTGGTCGGCTGCACGGTTCCGTGACGGGGAGCAGGGTAAATTCAGGGATGTGCTTCCTTGGAATTCTATGTTAGGGAAATTGATAAATCTAAGGACTGAATATGTCATCACGAATGATGTCGAAACGTTCTCAGCGGAAATGTTTAGCTGGGTAAAAATTTCATCAGTCAGCCCTGACTACCAATATTTCTAGTTATTACAAAGACAAATATCTCTCTTTCGACCATGTCTGTGGGTTGGCTGGTCAAACGGAATTTCCGAACCAACGGCGTAGTCAACTTTATCAGAGGTCTGCCTGAGTGAAAGATAAATTTCCCGTTTATGGGCTAAACTGAAGTTGGTGTGAAGAATTGTTTACCGGACACCCGATTATTTTGGGTTGCTGAATCAAGCAGCAAATAATATTACCGACTTATCCACTCAACCAACTTACGAAGCGTCATTTTGAAAGCATTTGTTTTCAAATGTGTTAGAGTATCCATGGAATTCCTACACAATATAATTGATCCCAATTGTGACATAGAAAAAATAGCATATAGACATCGACCAATGGCATTCAAAACGCAAAGTAAATAAGAACGCTTGTTTGAGGACGCAGATCGAATTACCTTTCCAAGCGATTGTACGCCCTTGATAACAGCCAATGCGCAGACAACCCAGGAAAATAGAAGACAAAGAACTAGTTTCCATGAAGGCACACCGAAATCGTTGATACCATTGGAAACTTTCAGTACTTCATTGCTAGAGGATAGGAAGAAAAGGCACAGGAGTCACAGTAAAGAAGTGGTGAGGTGAAAAGTACAGGCAGGCGCCATGTGAGGCTACAATCATTAATCATCAACAAATATATCAAGGTAGCAAATATTTGATTGATTAAACAAACTGCTATATAAACTGCGAGTGCAAGTATTATTGGTTTGTGTTTATAAGATTAGTAGGGCTCTTGCATAGCACAACACATTCCGCGTTTAGCACCAATATCAGGAAGGTGACAGTGTGTTTCCTTAGATTCGCATATTTTATACTAGGAATTATTAGTGGGTAATGAAATGAAGGATCTTGGAAAGGTGCACATCAATTGAGCAGTTCCGTGTGTAAATCGGTAATGCGAAAAAACGTAGGCAAATTTTCCCACTAAAAATACAACTTCTATTCTACAACACGCGCATTGTTAGCTCCACACAGGTGAAAGTGTCGTAACCGTCCCACTGACACTAGCCGGTAATGTCACGATGGTGATTTATGTGTTAACATAAGATGTGGTGAATCTATTTTATCGTCCATTGGTGATTTCTTCACACGTTTGCACAGATATAAAAAGTAATCCCGGCGGAAGCAATTATCGTCGCGTTGAATGGATATCACTACTCTTTTGTCATTTGACACGAAAAGGGCTTAACGTTGAAAACCGACTTCACTGATGCCTTCATACAGCGACGTTGCGCTCACAGTGTAAAGCTTATTCGGACTGACTCCACTGCAATCGGTCAGTAACACTTGGCCAAACTGCTATCATCATAGGACGAATGTTAGTTTTCCTGGCTCAAGAAGCTAGGCAGCAGCTTCTTTTTAGAGAGACAAACAGACATAAGCCCCCGATTCTCGCCCAGGTTGGATCCGAATGGTGATATCATAAAGTAAGACATATAAATGGGCACACGGCTTCATTGTCACTCAGCTGCGAGTCGTAGCATACACACACACACACACACACACACACACGGACAGCAGAGTGAGAGAGAACAGAGCTACATGTGATCGCTAAGACAATGAAAAAACACTCAATTTCGCCCAGAGTAAACCAACGAAACTTACTAAAAATAATCCTCGGAGGGTGAACTAATATTTCCGTATAAAGATGCGTTTGCCGTCGCGTCTGTGAGCAAAACAAAAGTGAAAGGATAGGCTTATTCACGGAGCTGCGAACCATTGGACAATAACACGGGAAAACCTATCCGTCTGAAAATGTTCCTGGTAAGCAAGGATGAAAACAAAAGTTCAGATTCGTCTAACGCTATCAGAACATCTGTTAGATACGTCTACTACCGGAGATATGCTCATATAATGAACACCAGGTGTACCCCAAATAACTCAAGTGGGCCAGCTTCGTTTTGGCTCTAGCCGCAGTCAATTATGTTTATGTTAATGGCACAATTATTATCCTGTACTTTGACTGCACTTTACAGTGAAACCATCTTTCCACACACAAATCCCAGGCTTCATGTTCGTTTGACACGCGCATTTTGAACTGCACTACAACATAAGCACTTATTGTGCATGGAGCGAAAAATTCATCAAATAGGGCACAGGTTGTGTCAATGCACCTGTTCGAAAGGCGGTAGTGGATGGCTGTGAAGCTTATGAGGAATTCCGGGTCTTTCACATGTCCCTGGCCGTATCGGAACGCGGGCTAATGTTCAAGGAATTCGCATGTGATTTGCGGTGCTTTGGGTTCGAGTCCCTGGTATATTTTGGACTTCTGCCTTCTGGCTGTTTGAGTCTACTTACCATGCCATGTTGCTTACATACGAGGGCTTTAGCGCTTGTCACTCTGTGCTCTACCACCATACAAAGCGACGTGTGAAAACCACCCTCCGGGGCGACAGTCGTTGTCAATGAGCCGGCAGATGGTGTGCAGTAGTGTAATTGCGCCCTCATTTCAGGTTACAGGATGGAGGACGATTATTTCCTTGCTTGCTCTTTCAGTGAATGTTTCCTGTTTGGACTACTTCTATTTCTATGGTTATCCTCTGTCCATGGTGGATACGAATAAAGGGAAGTATCTTGCTGTATGGCAAATCCTACGATGCGTGCCCTCCCATAAATCAAACAAACACATCACCAACGTCCACTCTGCATTTTGGTGCGGGAGATATCCCAACCACAGGGGAACAGCGCTATCTGGGTGTGTGCCCGGTATGGTCCCCATTTATCTATTAGTACCTCATTGCTCGATGAGTGTACTTGATAATCATTTTGCTGTAGATATAGATTTAAATGTGTCAGTAATTTTTCATACGTTGTTCTGTTGTCTGAATGCATCCTAAGGTGCCACCTCCTTGAATGCGACGTTTCATTATCCAGCAAATCCGGATCAATTTGGCTCAGGGCCTTGCAGTGAGGAGGTGAAGGAGTGGTCAGGAATTCAGCTTAGAGTAACACAACATATTGACTTTAGTGGTAGTAATTTACTTCAAGCGGCAAGCGGCAACGTCGGCTTTTACTTTGTGGATGCGTCATTATTCTGGCTAACCAGCAGTGAACCGTGGTGCTCTAGACCAGTAACATACTAAGTGTGATGACAGAGAATCGCAGAGCTGTGCTGTGTGGTTACCGGTCCCACAGAGGTCACTTTGGTCGGTTGAAGGTGCGCAACCTCGACAGAACGATGTATAGTGCAGTCTTGTGCGATAAAGCCAATTCGAAAGCAAGCGTAGCACAATAGTTAAAAATCGATTTTCACCATGATTAGCAAAGTTCACCTGCATTAGCAACGAACAAGAACTGTGAGCGAAAGACAACAACCACTGACTACGAAGGATAACCATGGGGCGATTTTACAGCGAATAGAAGTCAATTTGCAAATGAAGTTAGAACTTTACCTCAACTAGAAAGCTATCAGAGGCAATCAGACCTCGGAAGTAGCGTGATGCACCGAGCCATTAGTGCCACAAGTTTCCATGCTTCACTAGACCGGTGAGATGGAGGGGAGTAAACATTACTACACCAATCAGTTGTTTTCAATCCCTTTTGAAATCATTAATTCTCGATCGGTTCCAAAGATATTTCGAGATTTTAAAATCTATTGCCCTTAAAAGTTACTAAACGCTTAATGCAACACTGTGTGATACTCATGCACCGTAAACCATGCACCATCCGTTAGCGGGAGTGTGGTTAACAGTGAGGGGCAATGCATAACCTGGAAACCAACAAAAGTACATCGCTTCATCTGCATTGTTATTGTGTTCCCTTTTCCGGACTACTCTCCTACGTGGCTTTCTTATGGCTAAGAGATGACAACTGATAGGCACAAATCGACTTAGACGTCGCCTGTGTTGTAGACCCCACATGACCAAAAGCGATCAGCCGACATTCCAGTGGCAGTGTTGGCAATCATCAACATGTCCGAAGGAGTTGAACGAGAACAATAAAGCACAAGACTTTCATCCAAAAATTGAATCCTGCGTTCTTGGACAGCGATAAAGTTGTCGTTGAAAGATTTACTAAGTCAATGGAGCAGTGATAACATGAAGCAAGGGTTGTATCCGCTGGGGCGAAGACACATACTAATAATATCCAGTGGAGTCAGCAATACTGCATCTTAACGGTTACACGAATGTCAAAAATGGGCAGTGTAATCTGCAGCGAGAGGTCAAATGTGTATTTGTATGTCAATAAGTCTGAATAATAGCTACTAGACTATAAAACCATGGAAAATAAAAGAGGTGACAGGTGAAGTTGTCACCAGAGGAAACGGAGCAGTTTGACCTTCGCAAATGCCGGTTTTCGTCTTTGATATTTCCGGTTATTTGCGCAGTAGACATTTGACAGTAAACATTTATGTATATGAGTGTTCCCATTATTTCCCTTGCGAGCCAGATCTTCAAGCGCTCCCAGCAATCAGCATTCACCGTTATGAGTCATTAAGCACGCAGAGTTGTAGATCCGAAGTACGTTAAAAGTGGGTTCCCCGAGTTCAGCTTCTCCCGCCAAGTGAAAGACTCATCACCAGACAATCGCCTTCATCCTCATCCCATATGAACATACAGGGCACGATGGGGTGGATGTGCAGACGATATAACCAGGGCATAGCCAATGCCTTTCAATTGACGCAACTAAACCAGCACGTTGAGTGGAACTTCTGATTTAATCACAGAAAACTACGTGTTTCGCCGCACACGAGCATTACTCCTCACACATCCATTGTCAAAGGCTGACTGATAGCCAGCACACACTAACAGAGAACAACACCGTTCCAACGAAGGCGTTGTAAACTCGGCCGTTTACAGAGAAGAAAACATCCTGATTATGCTACGTGTTTCTGATTGACAAACGCCGACACAGCTTTGGCAATGCGAAGAGAAACCTCCTTTCCGCTATTACCACCGGCCGAAACAGCTGCTAAAATAGACGAAACGGTCCACCTGTTCAAGAGTGTGCACGGTAATGTGTGTGCGCAAATCCAAGAAGGGAGGAGGTACATGCCGTACCTAGGCACCTCAATCGACAAACAATCCCGAATTGTCTGCGCACTCCACGGGCAGTCATCCAGTATGCGATGTCATTAGAAAAATCGAAGTCGGTCGCGTATTCATATGGCAGACGTTCTAGGCCAGAATGTCGGTAGACCTTCATAGTTATCGACAAGATATCTTCAGTTGCAAAACTGGAGAGCGACGCGGACATATGGTAGCCGTTTCGTGCACTCTTATCCGCAGCGAACGACGAAGAAAGCTTGTCACAAACGCTTACTTTGTCGGAGACATGAAGGTATAGCAAATGCAGGGTGGGAGTATAATCTTCTGGTAAGCAACGCCATAAAGCAGGTCCATCAAGCGGGTCAAGTGCTGCGAGGATGTCTGAGAAGGCGCCGATGATAGGCATCTAGTGGCAGTGGTGGTGTTCGGGAAGTTGGTGGAGCGTGAAGATTTTATCCACGACCAGGATGGAAACAAACTGTTCCTCACGATGGCGCGATGGACGACTTGTGTATAGTTTATGGAGTAGAATAAATAATAAATAAATAAACGGTATATTTCTCGACAGTACGAGGCACAGTACAACTGTGTGGTCTGGTCAATCTGTACTGAGGGAGCGCATAAAGTAAGTCATTGATCACGCTTTATACAATTGATTCCAAATGAGTTTTTGGAGTGATTGTCAGGTTGAATGTAGTAGATTAAGAAACTGGCTAGATTAAGAAACCAGATTAAGAAACTTGGAACAATAACAAATGCAAATCTAACCACAAGTTCAAGTAAATACGGCCATCCATGGAACTGTCCCCCATGGGATGCGCTTCCATGCGGGGCATTTCCCCGATAGGTTTCACCCGCACTTCCATGCTCCAACTGGTTTTGTGCTGGTGTGGCAAAGTAGCAAATAAGCCGTCGCGTGTTTAACAAATGTATATTTTTTTGGTCTGTTTTATGCATACATTACGGGCCATGAAGCCTCATCCCGTTCCGACATACGGATCATTCAACCATGTCACTTTTTGGTTATTCGCCAATGAGTCAGTGGCAGTATGCCTTACATGTGTATAGTTTTTTAGCTTGGAAGCTGTAATCCGTCACCTCAAGAGGTCAGCCCAGTGGTGGTCAACAATGAAATAAGGAACGTAAAGTTTGAGGAATTTATGGCATAATAATAATTACAATTTTAGCAGACAGACCAAACACAGTTTGATGGAAAATAGTGGCGAATCATGACGATGGTACAGAGATTTCGAGAGAAAGAGTTTTCGCACTCCGGCCAGAGTTTTGTAAAGAATGAAGAGCAAAAAACGTAATCCAAATGCATCACTGCAGTTATGTGTGCTATATCACAAATCTCAAGCAAGTTTAGCCATCAGAATTGGAAGACAATTAGTGCATTAATTCTAGACAATCGATCGCAAAAAGTGTATCCGTGATCGATTGCCCAATGAAGACTGAAAAAATATGAGACCATTGTATGAGTATAGAAGTCAACACGGAGCAGATTTTGAATGAGAATGAAACGTAGTGATAGACTCATAACTGTCGCCAAATGACTCCTGAGGTGTTTTTGTTCCATATATGACCCAGTCCTTCCTCAAACAATCTATCCTCGTTTGTACGAAAACTTAAGATATGTTTTACTTTCGCTGGTGTCCAGAAAACCTTAACCATTTTGTTAAATACCCTTAAGGTTTTTGTACACTGTATACAACTAGATAGCCTATTCTATATCAAGCTGAACCTCATAGGAATAAAGTTCTCTCTGATTGTGGTCCTGAATGGATGCACTACAATCATGCAATCTGTGTCGTGCATTCCATATCTGGTTTCCAACCGAAACTGCATACGACGGTGTTCACTATGCACTTAATGACACATGTTTGTGTAGGAAACTAGCATTTAATTGTAAGCTACGCAGTCATAAAGGCTCAAATTTTAATTCATTATATCTACCTTTATAAGGAATATAAAGTAACCAAAGATACGTTTGGCGAAGGCGCGTTGCACAGTTGCTATGGCCACCTAGTCACATTTACGTGAACGCAACGCAACAGTATTCTAACAATTGTTTTATATTGATTTTAGATGCCATGAGCCTTGTCTCTTTCAGCGTTATTAACTGACTAATATGTCCCATTGCTTTAGTAACAACATAGTTTGCATGTTCGCTGAAATTTAGGGAGTTAGAATACCTCAAACCCACAACTGACAGAAGAGCAAATTGAAATGGGATCGCCATGAAGTAAAAATAATGCTGCTTCAATATGACATCTACAAATCATTACATTGAATTTTGATGTGAAGTACATCTGCCAATTTGCAGTCCAGTCCTCTATGGCTTGTAAAGCGCATACCATATTTCCTACCTCAGTTATATATCGGGAGGAAAGGAACGTATATACTACTTTCAAATTATTTCCAATTAATTATAAATTTCCGAAGCGTATGATGGGTATAAGATCATTTATGTATAATAAGAAGGGAGTCTAAAACGCTTCCTTGAACTACGTCACTAGGAGCTAGACATGAGCCCATTTATGTTGACTGTCTGAAAGCGTCCTGTCAGATATGATTTAAACCAGGAAAGAAGCGGATTTGATATACCACAACTACTCATTTTCAATAATAGTCTTTGGTGTGGGAGTCGATAGAACGCTATCTGCATGTCAAGATAAGAGACAGTGCACTGTAGTCCAAAATCAATCGCTCCGGTGAGATTATCTAAGATATATTTGGCAAGTTATGTACGGACAAGAATCTAAAAAACCATGCTACGAATGTGAAAGAAGTTTGTACGATAAGAGGGATGAAGTTAGTCTTTCCTTTAAAATTCTCTATCATGCGTTATAGGATGGAAGTATGACTAATGGGGCGAT